TGACATGCAGCACATAGTTTCTCTCCTGCCGAATGCTCCCCCCGTGAGCACAGTTTACATGGCTCGCCGGGCGTGCTGGTGACACAACCGCATTTCTGGCGCCCGCATGCCTTCGCGCGCGGCTTCCTCTCTCTGGTGCTTGCGTTACTATCGGCAACTGCTCGTGGTCTCTTCCCATCTTGAACTCGCCGCCGAGAACGAACGCCCGGGGTATTCCTCGCCGTTTTTTGACGCAGCCTCGGCGATCTCACGTTCTTTGCGGGCCTTTGCTTCCGCCTTCGCCACCGACTGCTGCTCTTCGTAGTCCATATCTGCAATCTTCTGCTGCAACTGCGGCTGTAGTCGAGCCAAAGAACGTCTGGCCTTAACCCTCGCCTGACGCTTCTTCCCTGATCTTCGCCCCGAACCTTTCAACCTCGCGCCAGAATCTTGCGCCGGGCGCTTCGCTCTACTTGCCCGAGGTGTCTGTACTGCCCCCCCAGCGTTGTCGCGACGTAGCGTTCCCNTAGTCGAGCCAAACAAGGTCTGGCCTTAACCCTCGCCTGACGCTTCTTCCCTGATCTTCGCCCCGAACCTTTCAACCTCGCGCCAGAATCTTGCGCCGGGCGCTTCGCTCTACTTGCCCGAGGTGTCTGTACTGCCCCCCCAGCGTTGTCGCGACGTAGCGTTCCCTTTTCGTTGCCTATCGTAGTAGCTGGAGATGATGGGTTCTCCGTCTGCTGGCCAGCGGCCGGATGCCGCGGGAACACGGGAGGTGTATAACCACCCAGTCTTGTGTCCCGGGTAGCCATGGAGCTTCGTGATTGCACACGAGCATGAAACCCCTGAAAGCGAGGATGGGCATCATCACACAAAAGGAACGACCGTAAGTTAGGGGTCAGTCTCCAAGTTTGTTAGCAGCGGTACTCTTCTTCGCGGTACCACCTCGAACTGTCGGTGGCAGTTTCCAGATCAACGTGTCCAACTTTATACTGTAGTTTTCTTTTGACATGTGGCCATCACGAACGGGTACCACCCCGAAATCACAAAACCACCCTGAAAGCGAGGTTGGGTATCGTCACACAAAAGAAACGACAATAAGTTAGGGGTGTTCGCGAGTCTGCGAACATTGCTGTTGGATACATGTGCTGGATGATTTTGTGTCACGCAGACTGGTAAGATAACCGTTTGATAGGGGGCACCGCGATGATTCACGGGGCCCCTCCTTGCTGTGGGAGCCGCTCTTTGAGCACTCCCTCTTTCGTCCGTGTGAAGGACGGTCGTCTACCTCCCGTGAAGTTAATACATCACCAAAACAGTCTCACCCGATAAATAAGTGGCGTAGGCCGCAAACACTCTAGAGTTTGCCCCTCGAGGGAAGCCACATCGGGATGAGCTCTGCTGGAGACGAAGAGCGCGCTGCTGCGAGCGGAGAACAGATCCGCCCGCCAGTGCAGGAGGGCCGCGACGCGGAGCTTGCAAGTTTGCAACGGCAGATTTCGCAATTGGCGGCCCTGGTGGAGGAGTCGGTGAAGAAGAAGGAGCCTGGTAGCGTCGTGGCGGATGCAGCCAGTAGTGGCGGCTGGGTTACCGCCACCGGAGGCCAAGATCAGCCCCTGCTGCGCACGGCGGAGGCGGGGGAATTCTCCAGCAGCAAGCGAGAGATAGTGGGCAAGGACCACGGCAGCTGCTGGAAGGCGGCTGGGCCAGCAGATCGGGAGCGAACCCTGTTGGACCAGCCGGAGTGGGCCCGGGCATAGGACCGGACTACGGGGAAGCGAGGGGGTTAAACCCCCCAGGTGAGATACCCGTGA